GTGCCACTACCTCGCTCAAAATCAAGAATATGATATCTTGTGTCAGGGTAGGGCTTCAGGTATCCCCTTTACATAGGATATTCTGCATCGACCAGATAATATTTTCCTGGTACGAAAAACACTATTAATAAAAAATATTACCTGCTCAAATATACAAATTGCAAAACAAAATTAACCTGATGGGGGGTGAGGGAAACACTGTGATCTATTCCTAGTGGCAAAGGAGAAAATCCGACTGTCATGTGCACTCCATTCCTAGCTCACTATCACAAAAGTAAAACACATGTTGAAGTCGCATACAACAATGACATTCTGAGTTGTTTAACCACTCTGACTGATGTATGCTACCTTCTCGTGGTTGGGTAGTCGGGCATTAATGAATGCTACCTTCTCGTGGTTGGGTAGTCGGGCATCAATGAGGGTACCGTCAATTGCACCAATACAATTCTATTTAATTGTCCGTTAGAGAGTAATAATATTGTGAAAGTATGACTTGTAATAAAATAAAAACACTCATAGTTACCTTGAAATATGACATGTATCGGGGATCGTTGACAATTTGTTCTGGAGTGGTAGCAAATGATGGATCCTCTGGTTTAACTATTTGAGTTGCTAAGCTAACAAGAGTCTGTATCCTTTTAGACAAGTAACGAGTAATTGTTTTAGATGAATGCTGAAATCTTTCCATAGCTCCTTGAATTGATTCATTCTGTGACAGAATGTACAACATTATAGTCAACACCTCCCTACCCGTCGTTCTAGAAGAACCCTGGAGGCCGTGATTTAGACATAACTCGTGCAGAAGATCCATAAAATAGGTGTTGTCATTCTGAAAATATTTCTCAACATTATTGGATGGTCAGAAAGCATTTCACCAACCCATTTATCTCCAACAAAGGTGGACGTCATGCGGGGAATGTGAGCAGTGCTATGCCGATAATAATCCAACAACAATATCGCAACGGCTGTAGCAAGTGTCATTCTCCTACGTCGCTCACGCTGTGGATCCATCATAAATGATTTAAAATGTAAACATAATGAGTCCATAATAACAAATGCCTACAACAGTAATTAATATATAAGAGATTACAAATATTCGGATGTTCCAAACATTTAAAAAAAAGTACATGATTCAAAGTTCCAAACATTTAAAAAAAAACTGCATAAGTAGAAGTTCAATTAGTGCAACAAATACATATACAATCCACAAAAAAAAATCATTCATCGACCAAAACTCGCAAATATTCGAGACACATTTCTGGCTCTAGCGCCATGAATATTTTCATTCGAGTTGAATTCTCAAATTTTTTCACACACTGTACGTGAAATCGCCTATTGGTCACAACTTCAGGTACAGTATCCAAAAGCCTCAGACAGTCTAATATGCTAGCATCAGAGATAGCTGGAGCTGCAAAAGCTTCAATTAAACGATCGAAGGAGATGTTCACAAAATGTTCCTTCTCTTTATTTTTCTTAGCAATCCTGGGCCTCTTTAAAATTATGCTGGACTCCCCCATATCCCTCTGGTTAATGCTAGACACTTCTTCATCAGATGTCAATGGTTCAAGTGTGAATTCATCTGGTATCCCTGTAAAACCGCTTTCACTAGGGTTGAAAGCAAACTTTCCCGTTGCGACAACCCATTTAAACATTACGTCCAGTTTTTCTTCAAATTTCGGCTCAATTCCGCACTGCTTATATTTTTTCGCTGCAGGTACCACCTGTGACATAACATTTAGAGGGAATAGTTAGGCAATTATAATTAGAGAAAATAATTTGGGAATCTAACAATTCACGGATTAGATATAAAATTACCTCTAATTTTTCATCCCACCATTCAGGTGGAGCATCAATGTCCTTTTAAACGAATCTCAACCCAAGCCGGTAGATCCACGTTTCAACTCCTTCAATATTTTTCATTCCTTCTTTAATTGATCCCATTTGTTTTTAAATTTAAGCCTGTCGTAATCCCTGTCACTCAATTCTTTGAATCTCTTAGCAATGTTTAGTCACCCTTCCTTATTAAAATACATTGTTGGCATGTTCCCAAGTTCTATTTCTTTTATACAAAGATCGCAAAAGATATTTGTTACTTATTCAACCGCTGTAGACATGATGAAACTATAGACAACAAATGAGAATAAAAAGGTTTTTAATTTCGAATCTCAATAGCAACACTAGCCAACAACAACATCAACCCAACAACCACAACAGTCTCCAAACAACAACATTAGCCACCAATACAAACAACAACATAGCTATTTGATCAAAAATAAATTATAAATATATAAACACAAATGATTTATGTGGTTCGGTCAATGACATACATCCACAGTAAGACATCGAAAATACTTTATTATGCAATTGTATACAGTTACATAAATAAATCTGATGGGAGAACATTACAACTTGTAATTCTCCCTCATCCATTCTCTATTTTCAAAAATAATAAAAATACAGTTTCATAAAAATTCTCGCTCATATGTTATCCACTTTCATATTTGCTAAAGAACCCGTAAATCCAATGTTAGTTCGAATCTAAAAAATACAGAAAATCCATAAAGCAAGTAGAAGAATCAATACAGGTCCCAACCATTGAAACCCGATGTAGAACAACCAATACAACTTTGATAAGAACCAATACTACCATCAGATGTTATAATTGATCAAGGTTATAATTGATCCCACAAAATTCAATTGCAGAAAACCAAAAGCAGGTAATTTCGATCCATGTAATTGAAGATTCATCTAAGTAATTATAAACCAACCTTTTCAAATCTCAAAATCTGAAATGCTAACCACAAGCCTAGCTGCATGTCACAAACATCAAGACTAGAGAGCCCAATGTTAATCCCATTCATTCTATTCTTTTTTTTTAATGAACCACCCTTTTCATGAGAAAAAAAAAAACAGCTAGCAATAATATTCATCCATGAATACCCAATGTTAATGATCAATAGCAGAGGAAGGAAACATAAAGAAGAGAATAGAAGTAAGGAAAAAAAAATGATCAAGGTTTGTGGCATGCAGCTACAAACATATATTTGGGGACTATGTTGCAGTTTAACCCAACTAATAAATAAAGTAGATGAATCCTCTCAAATGTGTTTTCATTGCAATGAAAACATATAGTACCAATGGATGCCAAATTTAAATGCCAACCTAAATAGAAGTTACAATATGCATTAGGTTGTTGTTGGGCAATTCGAGAAGCCACAGGCACCGTAAAGGCTATAACCATTGCAATTATTAACATATAACGTAAAGCCTAACACCTAAAAACAGAAGTTACAGTGTGCATAGTACCGTAGAACCTATACAAACATATAGTACCAATGGATGCCTCATATATAATCAAACATTGCATTTTCTTGCCTAACCATATGCATATGAATTGTAAAGCCTATAACCATTGCCATTCTTAACATATAACGCAAAATAAACGTATGGAATCCTCTCATATGCATAATATAAATTCCTCTCATAAAATGCAAGACAAAAGTAACATAAATTCCTGCAAATTTTCCACCGCACAATAAGCAGCTAAACATATATATAACTTCACCAATTTTCTTTCATGGACTCATATTTCAGCAGCTAATAAGCTAGATACCTCTCATCAAACAAACAGAGCCATAACCAGAATAAACGACACAATATCATGCCACAAAACATATGCTTAAAACCAGACTCATGTTTTCAGGATCGCAGCTGGCAACCCAAATCCAACAACTAGTTAAAATGGCAAAATATTGGGGCACAGAAAATGAACCATATCTCAAAAGGCCTAACACCCAAAAACCAGCAAAAATGCGAAAAGCCACAGGATTCGAAAAAAAACTGATGTCATAGATCTAAAAACCTTAAATGGCATCATATTTCTCCGTAAAAAAAATTTCATTTTCTGAATCAACACTGCTCAGAAAGAAGATCAGAGCAAAGAAAGCATTCCAAGGCTCGCATATGGCAAAATCAAAAGGATACCTGATGATCAGGAAAGAAATGATCAGGAAAGAAAAAGAAAATGGAAAGGAAGAAGGTTCAATCTCCTCTAGAGCGACGAACCAGAACCCTAAACTAGCGAGGGAGAAGGCAAGGGAGATGGAGGGCTCCTCCATAATTCCCTAGGGCAACGCAGATGGGTAACGCGGGACGCGGGGCTCGGACAGCGTCGAGCGACATAAAGCAATTAACCAACGCGAACGCAGTGCGGGATCCTTACACAGGTGCGAACGCCTTAAACAAACAGGGAGGCGGCATTTTAAAAACGCCGCCGCTCTCATTAAGCGCCCCCAAACGGGCCCTTAGAGGGTCTTTGTTAGATTCATTATCATATTTGATTACCTTTTCAGCTGCCTAATCCTTAGTTTCTATTAATCCTCTTAATTTTATTTTTCTTTTTCTTTAATCTCTACCACTTTTCTCATTCTTAATCAGTAAAATCTTACAAGAATATTTTTTGAACATGATGACTATATTGAACTTCTAAAATTTATGTTACATTATACTAATATTTTCTATTGCTTTCTTGTTAACTTCTCTGGTTCATTCTTCCTCTATAAAACGTGTCAATATTCTTTCTTGTTTTATAATGATTCTTAAAATTCATTTTCCATCCTGCACAAACCATTCGTTATCCAATATCTCATTATCAAGAACTAAATTGACTTCATAAAATAGCCACATCAATAAATGGAAATATAACTGTACACCTCTTTTTGCTCAAGTTTTATGCCTGCTTTGCAATCCTTTCTTTGAGAGGCATAACATATTGCACAATTTTAAATATGGGCTAAAAAATTATTACCCGATTTGATTTAAGTTCAGTTAATTAAATTACTCTATATATATATATATATATATATATATATATATATATATACTGTAGTTAATAATTGTGTTACTTTGTGTTTTGTATGGCACATTTAAGTGAAGAATGGATTGGTTTTGTACCGGAAAGCCTAAATTATTATATTTTTAATGCATAATTTCTTTGCTAGGTGAGGAATGTCATGCTAGATAACATTGACAAAGTTCTAGAAAGAGGAGATCGATTGGAGTTGCTGGTTGACAAAACTGCAAACATGCAAGAAAAAACATTTCACTTCAGAAAGCAGGCCCGACGCTTTCAGAGCACTGTGTGGTGGCGGAATGTTAAGCTCGCGTAAGAAACTTATCAAATAATTTTCCCTAAACTATTATTTCCTATTTTTAGGCTTGATACAGTTGTGTGACTTGACTGTTTACTGACTTTTCTTATATTTTTCAATTACGTTGGAAATGTTTTTGATAAGCTATAAAATATTTATGCTGTACTTATGAAATAACATTTTTTGGTAAAATATTGATGCTGTTCTTAGCAAAAATCCAATGCAGAACTTAAGAAAAAAGAGATGTACACCTCACTTAACAGAAAAATGCTCACCGCAAGTCTCTCTGCCTACCACTCATCGGAAGCATCAATTGTTCGCTTCACCGGATCCCATCTCAAACCCGTTGATCCTCACTTCAACTCCTTCCAGATTTTCCAATCATTCTTTAGCTAATTTCACTTGTTTCTTAACTGCATCCCATCATACTCTCTCTTTGTCACCTTCTTGAATTTTCTAATAATATTTTGCAACCCTTCACTTGTTGAAATAGGTTGTCGGCCTATTTCCTAGTCCGGCCTCCCTAAGGCAAATATCGCAAAATATTAATTTTGTCTCTTTATCTCACATTGCAGATGAACCAACCACTTTTGCTATAACCATTGGATTACTTTGATGAAAAATGAATATTAATATAAATAAATAGGAATATCTCACCACACCACACCTCCACACACCCCACCACAGCTTCACATCTCCACACACCCCACCACACCACAACAACATATCCACACACCAAACCACCACACCACAACAAAATATCCTCACACCACACCACCACACACATCTCCATACCTTTGCACATGCCACCACAATAGCACATCCACACACCACATCACACCACACATTAGTAGTTGAACCACAACACCACACTACACACAGTACACCACCACACCACATCACTCAAATATCAAATCCAACACCAGATTCAAACTCAAACATAAAAAATGAAGCATCGGCAGCCACCACTGCCCCAATTCTGAATGTAAAAATCTCTAAAATTAGGTGTTACACAGAAAACACAAGAAACCCATCAAGCAAATCCACTAAGAAATTTTGTACAAACCAATACGGATGACAAAGCAAATCCACTAAGAAAAATAAGGGATAGAGGATACCGAAAGAAGAAGCAAATGTCAGGAAACCCTCGTCACAGGTGCCCGGGGAACGAAGAGAAAGAAGACGAGAAGAAACCGAAATAAACCGAGCAAATGCGGGATGAGGACAAGCAGGAGGAACGGGTCATAGGAGAAAACATGAGAGCTCCGAAGTGAGTTAGGGCAGAACACGTGAATCCGGGGCAGAAGAATATCGCGAAGTCGGGGGGTAGCTACGTAATAATATCACGAAGAAACATGGGTAGCGCTCCCTCTACCAAATGGGGCCTGAGAAGCTTGTAAAATATTTAATGTTCAATATCCTGATTTTGTTTTAGATCCACTAAATGTTCGGCTTAGTTTAACCGTTGTTGGATTCAATTATTTCAAGCTTATAAGTAGTACATACAGTATTTGACTAGTGCTACCCACTGAACATATATTTTATCGATAGAAGCATTATTTTGATAACACTGAAGGATTTAATTCTGCACCCCAAAAATTTATTGGGACTCAAATTTTATCACAAATGGTGTTTTTATAATGTACTTTTGGCAACAAGAAAGATAAAAAAAAGTTATGAACATATATTTTATCGATAGAAGCATTATTTTGATAACACTGAAGGATTTAATTCTGCACCCCAAAAATTTATTGGGACTCAAATTTTATCACAAATGGTGTTTTTATAATGTACTTTTGGCAAAGCCAACAAGAAAGATAAAAAAAAGTTTGAAAAGAAAACATGTCAATTTGGCCACTACAAAATCTTCTGGTGTATTAAAATAATAGAAAAAAAAATTTTTTTTGCTTAACCTTATTGAGAGTATAATATTTTGTCAAATACTTTGGATGTTATGCATATATAGAAAAATGTTTGTGATAATTTTATATGCATATTATTTGATCTTGAAAACTAACAAGATGCCAGAGGAATAGAGGAAGAGTATTTTGGTCATCATTTTTAAGAATAAAGAGGATGCATAAGAGTGTGTAAATTATAGAGGAATTAAGTTGATGAGCCATACTTTAAAATTATGGGAGAGGGTAATTGAACATAGGTTAAGACGTATTACAAAGATTTCTCATAATCAATTTGGATTTATCCCGAGCAGGTCTATCATGGAAGCTATACATTTATTGAGAGGTTGATGGAGAAATTCAAAGATAATAAGGAGGATTTATATTTGATTTTTATTGATTTAGAAAAAGCATACGATAAGGTTCCAAGAGATATCCTTTGGAGAGTTCTTGAGAAGAAAGGTGTTGATATGATCTATATTCAAGCCATTAAGGATATGTATACTAGAGCTGTTACTTGTGTTCGAACTGAAGAACTGAAGGAGGAAAGGAGGATTGACCAAATATTCTCCTATTTCTGTTGGATTACATCAGAGATGGGCTTTAAGCCTGTATATTTTTGCTTTAGTAACATTGGATAACATTATTAAAGCAAAATATATTCATAAATTATTCAGTAATATGATGAATATGAAATATTCAATAGAATAACTAAATAAATGTAATGTGCATATATCATATGTTACAAGTGTTTAATCTCAATGCTTTATTACGTTTATTATGTTAAGAACATACAAGTTTGCAGTAATGAAGATTAATCAATGATTAAACCAATAATAATGTTTCACTTTAAAAATCAATATAAATAATGGTAAATTTATGCAAGCATATATGATTATTTTTGTCAAACATTACTATAAATTAATACTGTGATATAGGTTATGTTGATATAAATGACAAAGCACTTGTACTAGTATTAAGTGTAATAAAATAGTTAAGCTTAACTCAAGGCCATACAAATTTTTCTATTTTATTGAAATAAAATAATTATTATAATATTTATAAAAAAAATATGCGATGAATATAAATCTAAAAAATTTTTGAAGTTGGGTTTGTTGTTATTTATGTGATTCAAATGACCAGGTAATCCATATCCATATTCAAGCACGTCTTACACACAAAATATAATAATTTGCATTGATTGCGAAGCCGGAACTTGAACTCCAAATACGGACACCCAAAAATGGCTAAAGCAAGCTTTCGTTCGTACAAATTTTTTTGCCAAACTTTTGATATATCTATGCCTAAAGATCTAATCATAGAAACTAAAATTCTATAATACTTAACAATGTAAGTCCTATAATATATTATGAGAGAGAAGTATAACTAGATTGAGAAGGATTGGCGGTGATTAATGTGTTGGCAGCGAGCTGAAGAAAAGAGGGGCCAACCACTGGTAACAAAGGAGTTACCAATGGAGCTCCGGACGATGGGTGGAGCACGGTGGACGGTCGGCCTACAAAATCGAGGGAGAGAAGCTCGGGTCGAAGCCGCGAGTGACAGAAATAACCTTAGAGGAGTGAAAATTGGTGGAACCCAACAAAGTGGGCATATTTCAGATGGGCAAGAGATTTTCGGATCGTAATAGACAGATTTAATACTTGGTTAAAGATGATATTTTAAACCAGCACAATTAATGGTGGTTTAAACTGCTATTTTAGGTTTCTTTTTACAGCAGTTTATAAAATGCACCATGGCAACTCCTGTGATATCCCCCCCTTTTTAGTAGTGTTTATTTATTTATTTCGTGGAGAGCTAATGTTCAAATTTGTTAGCCTGCTAGTAACTTGATGAAAGCTCTTATTTCTATTGCATTGCATTATGATTTTTGGTTTTCATTCAAATTTTACTTTAATATTTTTTTTCCTTCTAAATAAAACTGATTATGTTTAAATTATATTGCAGGGCTTCCTTGATTATTCTCCTATTGATTATACTCTATGCGGTGCTTGCGTTTGTGTGCCATGGCTTCACTCTTCCCTCTTGTATTGGCCATTGAGTGCAGCATGCCTCATTGTTTTTTTCCTTTTTTCCTTGTTTCCTTGGGGCAATTACATACAGACCAACCGAAACTTGCTGTTTACAAATCAACCACCTTTTGTCATCGAATTTTCAAATCCTCCCTCAAATATTAAAATTCATGGTAAAACCCCAATCCATGTTTTTCATTTTTATCAAATTCTCAATATTTTGATCGTGGCACATATTAATACATTAATTCGGCAGTTCAAAAAAATGACTCGGGTGGTTAATTTGTAAATATCAATATTTCAGTGGTTTGTATGTAATTATCTTCTTTTTTTTCCGTGTATCAAAGAGGTAGATTACAATTTTTTTATTATATTGATGATTCCTGTACAGATGTCTGGTTTTCTGCATTTATTGTGTGCCATTCGATGTACTCTTGTGATCGTGCTGAAATAACATTGTGATCTTTATGAAATGTATTATATTTTCACGTAAAGGGGCCGTTTGGCGTGGGCGCAGTTTGTAAAATATACTAAGAATGTTACATATCTCTCATATCCTATGTATTTACTTGTATAGCACTTAAATTTTAGTTCTTACACACATGCCATTTCTGCAGAAAAATTGTACATTTCACTTTTTAAAAGCCGAAGTGGTGTTATTTTTGGTGAGGTGACGGAAAGATTTGTGGTGTAAATTAGGGCTGTCTTGAGCCAAACACGAACAGCTCTTTGTTCGCTCGTGTTCGGCTCGTTTTAGCTCGAAATAAAAAAATTTATATAACTATTTATATAACAATATATTACATATATTATTTATATAATAATATATTATATATATTTATGTCAAAGTTTAAATCATAACACCTCATGTAGTAATGTGGTTAGTGTCATTCTTTTGTATAGATTTGATCCAGGTTTGAATCCCACACTTTACATCTATTTTTCTCAATTTTAGTTTAACGAGCCAAACACGAGCCGAACACGAACACGAATATTTAAATCGAGCCGAACACGAACACATTGTTCACGAGCCGATTTCGAACACGAGCTATTTCGAACTAGTCAAACACGAGCCAAACCTGAGTTCGCTCATGCTCGACTCGTTTACAGCCCTAGTGTAAACATAAGAAGTAAAAGTTAAATGCTAGATATGTAAATAAATAAAAATTAGATTGTTTGTTTGCAAATGTCCCAAATTATTATAAATTTGTTATGAAAAATATTACAAATATTTTGTTGAACCTACGAGTAGTTTTTTTTTTTTTTTTGAAAAATCAAGTTAGTATTTTTATAATTATCAGATTTTAGCTGATTTAATTATAAAAAAAGATATCCAAATAAACCACAAATTTAAAAAATGCATTAATGTTCTAGATATCTCGAGCTTTCAGGTGATCTTATGCGAATGATACTGGTTGGGATAAAGTGGTTGCAGAGGCCTAAATGATAGCTACATTTTATCAAAACAACATTAAAATTTGTTACTCAAAACTTTAGCTGATTTAATTATAAAAAAAGATATCCAAATAAACCACAAATTTAAAAAATGCATTAATGTTCTAGATATCTCGAGCTTTCAGGTGATCTTATGCGAATGATACTGGTTGGGATAAAGTGGTTGCAGAGGCCAACATGATAGCTACATTTTATCTACTACAATTTGTTACTCAAAACATTAAAATTTGTAGCTATGTACATAATATTTTAATACAATTAACATGGTTTCAAAGCTTGGAACTAGAATCAGTAAACAATGTTAAGCTTATGCGATAATCCGAACAACAGTTGCAAATTTCTAATCAAATTAACTATGTCTGCAACATTATAAGCTATAATACATACAAATTATAATATATTTTTTCAATAATAAAAAATAAAGATAAACTAGTCATCATTAACATCACCATGTGTATAGCTCTAACAATCTACTTGTCATCCTTTAACTACTCTTGGTAATGGTAGCTGCTTTTCGTTTTGTATGATGTAGCTGGCTTTCTACTTGAGAATGGCTGCCAAAATAATATATGCAGACTTTAGACAATCCACCAGTGACATTAATTCATGCATTTTAGTTAAACTTGTGTTGGTCTATGAGTTGATTATGACTAGGGGTGCAAACGAGCCGAACACGAGCGAGCCTAGGCTCCGTGTGCCGCTCGTTTGTATTTCAAGCTCAAAATTAAGTTTTTTAAAAATACTACTCATCAAATATATATATATATATATATATAATTGATGAGTGGTATTTCGAGCCAAAATGAGCCGAACACGAACGAATAAATCTTGTTCATGTTCGGCCTCATTAACTTAATGAACGGGTCGAACACGAGCTGTACGCAAACAACGAGTTGTTTTGACAGCCCTAGTTATGATCCCTAATACCAATTCTTTTTTGTATAGTATTAAGGCCGGTTTATAATTATACCGGAGCTTAGATATAGTTTTCTTGGAGTGGGGTTATTGCAAAATTTAATTGCACTGTGGTTATCTAATTATTTGTTTATGATGATATGTAATTGATTATTTATTGGGCTGGCACTTAAAATAGATGATTGTTTGTTAGGTTTGTTCACACTATATGAAGTGTCTTGGACTTTTTATATTATTAGATATTTAGAATGTAAAATTTTTATCTTAAATAATCAAATGATTTAAACGCACACTTTAGCTTCTTTGGTGGGCTATAGATCAGAAGTGCTTTTCAAGTTAGTACAATTCTTACACAGATGCATACATATGCATAGCTCAATGAGTCCACATTGTAGATTTACTTTCTTTTATAAAATTAGATGACTAAATAAAACTTTTATATGCATATCATGATCATTTTTGGTTGAGATGCTTTTGCTTCAATAGCCGTTTTAGATCCATTTTAAGTCCATTTTCTTGTATACTTATCCATCCTATATTGTCTTTGCATATATTTCAGGATTTTATATTTCTAGGTCAATCTAGTTGGCCAATCTTTTCTTGCAGGATTATAAACTCAGGTCATAGGTACTCTTAGCTTTTGATAGGGTTAAGTTAAAAGTCTTTTCAGAACATCTATATTTGTTTAGATCTTTAGCCATACTTGATTAGTGTAATTTAGTCCTCTCTTATATTTAGGTTTAAGATTGGTGTTGTTTTTAGTATCAAGCTCTCATCGTTGGGTGAGCCTTCATCCTTTGGATGCTATAAAGCTGATCAACAACTATTGCATGATATATTAATTTTGCATAATTGTGTTCCTTTGTGCTGATCTTTGTATACTTGACTGTATTGTCCCTTTTATATGAAGAGTAATCAATTTGAGTCATTCATTGGAATAGAGAACCTTGTCTTGAAACCTTCTATGTATTAAACCGCAAAAGTGATAGAACATCCTTAATCGAGAGTTTTTCTTGGCTCATTATCTAAGATATATTTAAACATGGGAATATAAATAAACATGTGGCTTCACACCTATAGAAACATGCTTAGAATAAAGTATATCCTGCTCAAGCTTATATATTGAGCAGTGGTAACACTCTAGGAAAACGGATTTCGTGGGTCATTGCCATAAAAAAAAAAGAAAAATAAATAAATGCAATTGAAAATGCAAACCATCACACAATAACATCAAAAAATTTTACCTTCCAAGTCAAAAGAACAGTCTGCCAATAACTTTTACTTAGCATCCACATGTTCATTTTGAGAGCTGAATTCATCGTGAGAATGAGTTCATTTTGAATGAAAAGTTCATCTCAAGAGATGATTTTTTTAGTGAGAACTTAGTTTATTTGAAAAGTTTAATTCTTTTTAAGGTCACGATCATATATATACATACATATATATATATATATATACATACATATATATATATATATATACATACATATATATATATATACATACATACATATATATATATATATATAGTAGTTCACGTAGTCAACCATACAAAATCATGAAACCTCCAAATTAGCCATCAAGTCTTCCAAATTTTCATTATTATATCATTAATGAAACTATTTAAACATTAATAATCAAAACCCAACACCACAAAACACTCCTTTTTCCGAAACAGATAAATAGATGCCACCATCTTCTCCAATCAAAGCAAACCAAATATCTCTTCCAAAACCAATCGATCAACAATCACCCCCTCTATCAAAACCGAGTAATACCCCTCAGCATACTCCCATTCTCCACGGCGACAGATTCAGATACCAATAGAAGTTAAGTATCATTTGGTCAACGTACAACTGAACATACCCTTGCATTCTGTACCTTGTTATCGCCACCCTGTACAATAACTCTCCATCATCAATAAACAACTTCATTACTAGCTTTTTTATGGCAGCTAATAAAACATATTATTTTGGTTGCTGTGATTCAAGGAATGATTGTCTTAGACCTGCTGTGAATAAATGTGGTTAATAATGTAATATTAGATGGAAATTAATGAATGCAATTATTGATTTTTGGGAATCAATAGATTTTTCCCTATATGAAGAAAGGGCTTAATATTTGGCTTGAATTTGTTTTGTTTTTGTTGTCATTTAAGAGTGAAAATTTATTATCATGGTTGCATTGAACTTTGTCCATCCATGTATTATAATACTTAGTATAATTGTATGGATCATGTAAAGTTTCTTAAGCAACAGACCAACATAATGACAATTATTACAATGCTGAAGAGAACCCATGCTAATACCACACAAAAATTTTGTTAAATGATATAACTGCTCATTAGAATACATTACATAGATATTCTATATAAATTGCACACACGCACACACAAATACGCCCGCTCGCGCGCACTCACGATTAATTTAGTTATGGACTCTCACCCAATATTGGATCACTAACAATGCACCACTCTCCTCCTCCCATTTAATGAACTTTTGTTCTTTTTTTTGTAAGATGGCTATTTTGCTTAAATATTCAGGGTAGCGCTTATATTTTTTTTTAGAAACTTATTTGTGTGGTAAGCACCAAAAGAATAGTTTTACTTGTGTAAATTTAAAATGATTTTGAAATATGATATTTTTGAAAAGTAAATTTAAATTTACTAGCAAGGTTGCCTAATTTAAAAGATGCCACTAGAACATAATTTTCTTTTGATTTAAATGCACATTGTCAAGCACAACAAAATTTTGAATAAAAATATAATTCTCATACACATTTTCCAAAATTTGTACCAAAATTTCTATCAAAAACAAATTTTAGATCACAACAACTTCCAAATCGTTGTACAACATTTAACATGGAAGAAAAGATGTGGTAAAAGTACATGGATGGAAAGTAATGGTGATGCAAATTGTTGTATAAAGGTTTGGATCATTGAAGTTGTGGCTCTTTACTTCTTATAGTCTCCGGTGCATGTTATTGATACACCCTTTCACTTATAAATTTTGAGAAGGTTGTTAATGTACACCGTCACTTATCAGGACCAACATTGACGCCAATTGACTTTGTTGCCTATTATCGCTTATAAAGTTGTTATGCACCATATTATTGATGCTTTACA